TTATATGGAGTTAGAAATTGATAATAGCCAAAAACAACCTGATAGAGACAATGACAAGAAGGAAACTTGGAAAACTATCTCGCAAATACACGGATTTTTGGACTGCCCAGAAGTAATGGGTCAGGTGTCAGAAGCTTGTTAAGCCAAAAAAAGACAAATAAGGATCAGGACAAAGTAAAAAGCCAGAAAGAAAGAAGCACAGAGATACCGAGTTTAAGTTTGAACACTTTAGCTTTGCTAGTCCATCAGTCCTCCATCATCTCTCAGATATCTATATACATATATAGATTTGTTTTCCCTTGGTAACCTAGAATACTATGAATACAAAGTACTAGGAATACAATAATCCTGTGCTCTTCTATCCACCCAAAATGTCTTCTGCTTTCTGCTATTATCTCCAGGTGAATTCTTAAGATATTCTGCATTTACATCTCCATTTACATATTTCATATTATTTGTTGCTTTAAATGTTCTCTAATGCATTTGCAAGGACACTGTTTATTGCAAGTGAAAGAAAAGACATTATAAATTAATATTGGTATACTATAGGTATTCTGGTTTCATATTATTAATGCCATAGGTAGAGGGGAATTAAGAATGGCTAGAATAGGAGCCAAAATAATTATTCAGGGATCCATCTCTTTTACACCTATTTTATCCATATATAGTAACTGATGTAAACAGCATCTCAGTCATATTCTATCAGCTAATCTTCCGTACTAGATAGGGAGAATCCCCTTTCCCCAATCCTAATTCATCCAGAAGCATTTGAAGAACTCCACTTGTCCTAGCTTGGATCATGTGCCCACCTATTTTTCATGAGCCATTGACTCCTTGATTGAAAATCTTGCTGAGATTAAAATAGGAAAGGAAATTTCTCCAATATATAAGCTATTGTTACTAAGCAAAAATGTGAAGGGATGTTGGATTAAAGACACTTGACTAATGCTGGCTCATCAGTTAAAGTAATTTTAGAAGTTTTCTCTTGAACAGAGTTCCATAAGCCAGGAGTGTATTCACACCCCAAAAAATGCACACAAAACTTTGCTTATATGTAAATCTATCTAGGGAAGGGTCCAATCTTTGATTACAAAGAGTTCCAGGGTGAGAAGATATCTGTTTTTGAAAAGGATAGTGAGGATGCAGACCTACTTCAGTATTCTAGTCAGGTTGTATGGGTTTTCTTCTCCAGTTCTTCTCCAGTTCTTATTAGCTTCCCTTGACTTAATACAACATAAATGCAAATGCAGAACCTTGTGAGTCACTGTTATAATGCAGAAAGTTCAAATCTATGGAGTTAACTTTTATTTCATTCCTACTTAGTTCTTGTCAGTCCATTTGTGCTGATATAACAAAATGTCTGAGACTGGGTAATGTATAAACTGTAGAAACTCGCTTCTCACAATACTGGATTTCAGGAAGCCCAAGAGTAAAGGTATAGCAAGTTCAGTATCTGGTGATGGTCCAGTCTATTTTCAAGATGGAACCTTGAAAGTTATGTCCTCACATAGTAAAAAGGGATAGAAAAGGCAAATGAGTCTAGCTATTTCCCTCAACCCATTTTATAAAGGATATTAATCCTATTTAGGAAGTCAGAGTTCTCATGACTTAATCTCCTCCTGAAGTCCTCACTTCTTAATACTATCACATTGCATCTTGAGTGTCAACATATTTGAGATGATACACACATTCAAACTGTAGCAATTCTCTTCATTTATCTAACTTTATGTTAGTTTAATCATCTTTAAAAATATAAATAGTACCTCTTTCTCAGATAAAGGTAGTTTAGTGCTTGTACATAGTGGGTTTTGAGTGCTTTTTGATAATTATGGAAAAAATGTGTAATGGGGCTTCTGTAGAAGTGGTTCCTCTCACTTGCATGTCATCCTATTGAAGGAGACCATGTTGTTTAGCAGTAAGGATGCAGACCTACTTCAGTATTCTAGTCAGGTTGCATGGGCCCTCCCTCGGATAGCTTTCGCCATCAGTGAGAGCTGTGTTGAGACCATTATCCACTTTTTATTCTGTTTGCGGTTCCCAGTTGACTTTTCAGCCTTCTCCTGTGTCCACTTCTCCTGGAAGAATTTTCTCAAGAGGCCTGTACTACCACTAACACCAGTGATTTGGGGGTGACGGGTGACCATCTCACTCTTAGAACATGTTGAAGATATGGCTCAACCCCCAAAGTTAAATTACTAGGAGAGAATCCCTCACTTCCCCCAGAGTAAAAATTAAATGCTAGTAACAATTAAATGCTGAAGCTTTGCTTTCATAACTACTCAGAATAATTTGTTATTGGAGAAAACGGAGCAGGATAGAATCATATTAGAGTGATAGAGAACATAGAATTGAGTACCTTGTTCTCTTGTTTGAAAAGATTCTTTTTTTTAACTTATTTTAAAAAGTTTGCATGTTAGTGTCTGAAAACTATGTCTTTCTTGGAATTAACTGATACACACACACACACACACACACACACTTGGGAAAAATTTAATTAAGTTTATAATTTTTTAACAGTGATATAATCATGCTTGTGCATGGTATTTTCTCAATGAATTTAGTGTTTTCATGTTTTTTAAATAGGGGTATTAATTCATCTTTTCAATAATTCAGCAAAATTTTATAGATGGCTTGCCTTTTCTGTTTTCCTTTTAGGATCTAGAACATAGTTAGAATTTATCAAATTAGTTAGAATTTATCTAATTTCCATATTAGACAAATGGAAATTCATCAGTTAACTGCAAGTTAAATTTCATGTATGAATGTTTTATAAAATGGTCTTGCTTCATTTCTAAGTAGATTAAATACTAGAAGAAAATGCATAGAATTTTTTAATGTACTGATACTTTTGTCTTAACATATCTATTAAGCCATGGATGTTATCTTGTAGAATGTTGGCACATAATAGTTACATTTTTAAAAAATTCATCAAAACATTTCACTGTATCAACAGTAACATATTTTGTACAACAGGCAATATGTTAAAGTCACATGAAATGCTTTTATCAGAAGCTTTTTCATTTCTCTTGTTTTTCCTTTGATGTAACCCATTTCCATGTTACCCAATATAAAAGGAATGTCTGAAGTTTCTCATGCACTCAACATCTTTTTCTGTTGTTACTCAATGAATTAATCAGATTTACATTCATTATTTTTATTGCCATTCATTAATTCAGTCAACATATTTTATTGAATAGCCTGCATATAATAAGGTGGCTGTTTCATATGAAAATTTTATTTTCAGTAAATTATACCTTTGAAAATGAGTTACCCATGTGATATTATTAGGACTTCTGCAAGCTGTATAAACAAGCAAAGTGAAATAAATAAAGGAATAAAATATTTCATTTTAATAAATGCTACAGACTCATATAAAATGAATAGGAATGCATTGTGAGAAGTGTTATCTGACGAGGAGCATTGTCTCTGACGGGAGTCATTTCAGCTGAGTTTTGAACACTTGGATATTGTCAGCTCTGACAGAAAAAATGGCTCAGGTAAAAAGACAAAGGAGTTCCTCAGTTCCAGGGAAGATAGTTCCAGGTATGTTTCAGGAATAAAAAGAAGCTAGTGTTCCCAAATCAAAGGGATCATATAGGATAGGATAGAACTTGTAATTAGTTTAAATATAAGCTAAATAAGTTGGGAAAACATTTTAAATTTTTAGGAAGCTGAAAGGTAGTACAACTTAACTTCCAGATAAGGATGCATTTGGTGGCTTTGTGGATAACAGGTTGTAGATTTGCAAGAATGAGAGTGAAGGAACCAATTATTTAGTGATTGCAGTGATACAAGAGAGAGAACATTCACATAGATATTCTTGATTATGTGATGATCTGCCCTGATGAAATGACAGGCCATGTGTTCAGATGCCAGGAGTCATGTATAAGTTCACTTGACCTCAGAGGCACATTTTGGCAGATTCACATACTAAAGTATTGACTGACAGCAACACCACAAATACCCAACCTCTTGATGTCCTTAACATTATTTAGTAATTATTTATGTGTGTGATACCTTGGTCTCATCATTTCAAATATTATATCAATTTTATATGTTTTGATACCTATTGTGGATTATATCAATATCATTTATTGTATTTTAAATACCACAAATTGATCTATCCTAGATCAAATACTATTTTTTGAGTTGATAAAATAATAACATTTGTTGTAAAATAAATTATGACATTAACATAAAGAAAAATATTTTTAAATTATGTGTCTACATAAAAATCTATTTTAAAATACAGTCTTAAAAGGGTCAGAATACTGTACTTCACTGTGTATATTGCTAATCTCCTGTATACTACAACTACTTGAGAACCTATTTCTTAGTTGAAATAATCATGTCTATAAAATTGAGCTGGAAATTGCAAAAATTAATTGCTTCTGAAATATTTTGCAGAATAAGAAAACTTAGATGAGAAATGCTAAGTTAATGGACACTAAAATATAGTTGAGACAAATTTAATTCTAAATGCTCATGATAGTGTTACAAAATTATTTAAATCCAGCTTCTGTATTTGCTTGTTTTTAAATTGCAAATGTGCTACCACTGCAGGGTAAACAATTATGACCATAATTAAACTTCAACCTTCAATCTTTTCATTTATGTTTCTTACGTACTTTGAAAGTAAAGACAATAAGACTTTTTATGACACCTCACAAATTGATTTCAAAAGTAATTTCAGAATCAACTACACATGGGTCAGATCAACATCTTCCTTTAGATACGCTTCCAACTAGGTAAATTTTTTGATTAGAGAGTGTTTCTTACATAAATTTCACAAAGCTTTAACCTTTTCTTAGGAGAGGTTTTATGAATTCTCATTCTTTAAAACATTGGTCTAAATTTTTAAAATATTTTTGAAATAATATGAGTAAAACTTAATGTTTAGTTTTTGACCATTTATTAGTATCCATTAGTTATTAACCACAAACAATTCAATTTTTTTTAGTCTGTTTAAGTTTTAAAGGAATAATGTTTTTATTTTGCAGATTGTTGCCTTGCGGGAGCAAAATGTTCATATACAAAGAAAAATGGCATCAAGTGAGGGATCCACAGAGTCAGAGCATCTTGAGGGGATGGAACCCGGCCAGAAAGTCCATGAAAAGGTCTGACACATGAGACATACTCCTCCATGATAATTTTTACTCGCTATATATAATTTGACAGGGATTTAGGGTATAAAAACCATGTCAAGAACATTCTTTAATTTTGATTTTTTTTTTGTTCAAAGGTTTATGGGGATTTCTCACCTCACTTATTATTAGTTTGATTATTTTAAAAATAATACATATGTGTAAGTATTGTCTGTACTTATGAATATACATATTTAAATTTTTCTTTACTTACTCTTAATTTGATTCTTTTCAAAATAATTCAAGTATACAATTGAATTTATATATAATAAATATATAAAATATACAATTATTTTATTTTATTTTTATGTTTTGCAATAATGGGATTGAATCAGGGGCACTGTACCACAGAGCTATATCTCCAGTGCTTTTTCTTCTTTATTTTGAGGCAGGGTCCTGCTAAGTTTCTCAGACTAGCCTTGAACTTGCAATCTTCTTGCCTCAGCTTCTCAGATAGCCTAGATTATAGACATGCACCGTGGTACACTGCTATAAAGTATACAATCTAAAGTGTGTGTGTGTGTGTGTGTGTGTATGTATGTGAATGTGTGTGTATTTATACACACGCACACATATATATGAAAATTATATAATATATATATATATATTATATAAATATTCAGAACTATTTAAAATGCAATAGCAGTGGTTGAATTATCAAGTATTTTAAGTGCTATTATGTATAATTGGTGAATAATCTATTGTTTATCACTGCAAAAACTTTTTGGTAACCTCTTATTTGACTTGGTATTTTTCTTGTTTTGTTCTGGAAGAACAAAACAAGGCTACTAGCAAAAGACCTTTTCTGTGCTAAATTTGTTTCCAATGTAAGAAGAAGGAGGTAAATCACTGGTAGGTCTGGAATTAGATGAAATTCCTCATAAATTTGCATATCAGATGTTTGGAACTCACAAGACTCTCCAAAAAGTATTTGCCTGTGACAAGCTATTACTCTGGCTGTCAAGTTCCCTTAATCATTAAGACCACATGAGTCAGGTAGCTAAATTGGTATAACTGTGACCATCGAGAGATTCTAAAACCTAGAGATTAAGAAAAAAGTGACTGGGAAACAAAGCAAGTGGCATTTGGTTTCTTATCAAAAACTAAATTGTACATTTCCTCATTTGTGCTTTTGAAACAAATGGAAGAGCTTCTTGTGTTTCCTCTTTCAAGTACAAGTACAAGGGAAACTGAGTAAACTAGACTAATTTCCACAGATGGGCTTCAATTATGGTGGCTGAGATATAAACAGATTCTCATTGAAGACTTCACTCTTTCGGCCTTTATCCATGAGTTTTATAGAAGTCCAAGCTAAGTGTTAAATATTAACTGCAGCTGTAGAGTCAGATTTTATAAGCTATGTCTGAGGTTAGAAAAAAAAAGTATCTTTCTTTTCTTCAGTTACATAAACTAATATTAGTTCAGTCAACATATTGGCAAGACAGACAAAACATTTGCACTTAGAACAAAATTTAGGAAAACCATCATGAGCATTTCCATTGCTGTTTTGCTTAAATTATGTCATCAATAATTGACTGTTGTTGCTCTCCTCAGATAATTAGAGAATCCCATTGTTTTGGATATGATATGGGCTTCAGGTTCTAGCTTTTCTCATAGACATTTACAACATATTGTTTTCTAAAACACTTTGTGCAACTCCAGTTCATAATTGAAAAAGAGTCTTTCTCAAGTGTAAAGAACTTGAGATCTTGTCTATCCACTAATAAACTACTTGATCCCTAAGCATTCTTGTAAGACTTCTACAGATAGGGAGAAAGGAAATCTCATTTAAATTTTTCAGATGTTGTTGTGTTGCAGCCTACAATAGATAGAATATAGGATGCTACATGCCATACATGGGTGCAGTAAGCTATATCATCTACTGGGGTGTGAGTACACTCTATAGTGTTGAAAATATTTTCTCATGATGCATGACTCAGAACATATCATCATCTTGCAGTTACACATGGCTATGCTGTTTTTCAAGGTACAGCC